CTCCTTCCCTGCGCTGTCGTTTTCAGCTACCTTTTGCTTTATCCCCTCCTGTTTTGCAACAGCGCTTTGTTAGATGTTGAAATCTTGGGATGTTGTTTTATAACCGACTCCTTCAAATTAAACCCTAATAAAAAAAAAAGGTGTAGGTTTATCGTTTTTAATGTGGAAAAGTTTGAACGCCGTATGAGAAAAATCTCCTTAACCGTTTTTCCTCGAGCCGTTGCCCTAATCTACTGTGTTTGGAGGTTAGTTGACCTCATCCTGTCCCTTCTTCTGCAGTTCAGCAGTGTTTTGTTTTATGGTAGCAACAGGCTTAAGTGAGATTATCATCTGCTTGATGTGAAACCAGTGGTTCGTCACTTATCAGCCCTGTAATAACAGAGCCATGGTTTAATCTTCTGTCTTCGTCAACAACACATTCAACTTCAGATCGCTTTATTAAAAAAAAGCAGTTGGGCAACACCTGTAATGTGGAGTCGTACTTCTATGACATTGAAGTAATATATATATATAAGTTGATCAGAGATCATTGGAGATGAAGTGACCTTTGTTAAAACGCGATCATTGATTGATGTGCATTGGCTACTTAATCTTTTTGTTGATCATGCGCTAACAGTGTCCAACTGTTAGTGTGTGTGTGTGTGTTTGTGTGTGTGAGAGAGCTCAGGTCTAAACAAAAGCCTCGTTCTCTTAGCACTCAGCCTAATTAATCCATCTCTCAGCCACAAAGGGGTCCCTTCCCCTCCTTTTCTCCAGCGCGTCCCATTGGCATTTTAGGGTAGAGGGATTCAGCAGGACCCCCGGGCACCCTCCTGCCCTGACCCCTGCCCCCCCACCAGGGGAGCATCTGTGGATCGATCCAGGACCAGCTGGCACTAGGGGGGAAAAAGGGCAGAACCGGTACTCTAAAGCACAGTCCACCTCAGCGCACACACACACCTCTATAGAAGCCACTTGTAAAGAAAAGCGACGGTGAACAGCAGCAGCAGCAGGCAGGTTTGAAGCCTGGTAGTTTAGTTCACTGATATAACTTTCCTTTTTCCTACATTTGAAGCCTTGACCTTTAGTGGCAGAGTGCATTTATAAAGAGTTGTAGCTAGGGGGCGTCAAAGAGCTATCCTCACTCCCTCTGCTTCACACACTGTTTATATTACTCTTAAAGTCCTTCTGTTGGCTCAGAGTAGGAGCATATTGATAGTCCTATTCTTTATGTAATAAATGAAACTTTTGTATGGTCCTTCCTTTCATTTTACATGTTGTCACATCCTCCTAGTGGCCCTAATCCTTGTTACTTCCCACACCTCTCAAACAGACCCTGATTGACAAGTAGCATCCAGGAGAAACTGAGAAAATTTCCACGACCCAAATCTGTTGAAATAGTTATGCGGTTCCTCTGCTGGAGTATTTGCATATCCTTAACTGATTTCCTATTTCTCCACACCCCTCCTCATTTTGTCGCCCCAAACTGCTTTTCCAAATCTCCTCTTCTTAAATGTTTCCCACATTTAACAAATTCATTCATAAAAAAATCTGCATGCGCTATTAGCTTAGTATAAGAGCATAGGGTGTAATGTGCAGGGAGATAAGAGGTGAAAGGAGAGTTTTCCTCCTCCTTCTTATCCACCTTTGCTATTTTGGACAGGCGCTGATACGATGTTTTCATGGCGAAAAAGGCAAGGCTCAAATGTCAGCACCAAATGTCAAGTGGCCTCGCTAGTGAGTTGGTTTGGTTCTTCTTTTTTTATTTAATCACTGGTTTGAGCATGGTGACAGGTGGAGAAGAGGAGCAGGCAGAGATGGGAGAGATGGACGGTGCAGAAGGTCAGATTAGATGGTCTGTTGAAGAAGATGGAGAAAATGGAAGGAAGGGAGTGTTGAATGAACTTCTTGATGCTAGGAAGCCTTAAAAGCTTTTATAGGAAATGTAAACATGTTTGAAGTTTTTTCTCTCACTCCTCAAAGCAGTGAAAAAGTCAGTATTTAATCAACTTCTTCTGCTTCTTTACTTTCTGAGGTTTGTGACTTTTGTCTTTATTTAAATGCTGTTTAGGGCTCGGTATCCAGAGCTTAAAAATATGGAAATCTTTTCAAAAGGAAACTATATTGTTTATATCTATGTTGTGTCAAAGTTTTACTTTTCATTTCTCATGTTAATCTCGTAGTGTTTGTTAACAAATGTGCCGGTGTCACATTTGGGACAAAGCTTGGATTCAGAGGAGTTTCTTTTTTTTTTTTTTATAATTATTAGTATTCTTTTTTACTTTATAAAAAGAAAAACAACTCAAGATAGATATTGTATATATAACCATTAAGCTTCCAAATATTGAGATCCAACACAGAATATGATATAGATATTTACAGCTCTGGATAAGTATGAAAAAAGAAAACAAAACTCAAAAATATTTCCAGGTGTTATTTCCTGTATTTTCTTTTTTTTATCTTTAAAAATTATTGTTTGGTTTGTCTCAGCATTTTTTATTTTTCCACTTTTTGTCCTCTTCAATCATGGTTTGGACTATGTTTCCAAATCCTGTTCAACAATGTCCATTTCTTAATTTTACTCAATACCATATTATTTAGTTATTGATAATAACAAAATGAAAGCCTACAAAAAAATGCATGAAAAAAACCCCCAACAGATTATTATTATTCTGTCATGTTTATAAATCTTGCCCAGTTTAACATTTTAGCAATAATTGCTAAAAAAAAGAAATCCTAAACTACATAAAACAATCAACCTCTGTACACAAATCTGTAGAATATCCGTCCGGAATTTCCATATTTATATTTGAAAATAAGCCAGAAATTGAAGAAAAAAGTATAAATTTGAGTCAAAAAAGTATGGAATGGTAGAAACCTTTAGTTTCTGTCTATTTTAATACCTGATATCAAAGTGGCATACAAAGCAGGCCTCTCTACCTCTTCACATCCAGTGAAGGAACTTTATAGCTGACCTGTGGATTTCTAATCTCCGTTTGTAGCTTGAATAGTTTATCACCTTATTACCAAACGCTTTACCACTCGGAACTGATACAAGTTCTGTGTGGATAGGTCTCTCTGTGTGTATATGTGTGTGAATAAATAACCTGCAGTCCAAGGCGATAAGGCTGAGATTGAGTTTTTCCCCCACAGTGCCAAAGCGTCTGAGCTGAGTGTGGGGTTTTGTGTGTGAAGACATCAGGAAACGGCCAACGTAAAGAGCTGGTATCAGTTTATCTGGCACAGGTGGCAGACTGTACGTCTATATGTATATGTGCTCTGGAACTGGTGTGCTGTGAAAGAGAGCTAGCCGCCCCGCCTTGCCTGCTGTTGTGCACACGAGAGGAGGAATACTCAGAGCTCGATCCACAGCTGAGACATGGCGGTGTTTTACTGCGCTGCAGAACCAGCATCTGGATCTGCCAGCATAGTTGGGTGCTGTTTTTTATACAGCCGCCCAACGGAGATCTGCTGGATACAGACATTTAGAGAAGAAATGTGTGCTTTCTACTCAAAGCATTTGGTGGAGAGAAGGCAATATAAATCTGGTGTTTTCTCTTCTTGTCAGTGGTATTCACTTACAGTGTTTATATCCAGACTTAAGGCACATTTTATCAGAGGGCCGAGAAAAGCTAGGAACATTCTCATCTGTTTTAGTTTCTACCAGTTCTGGAACAAAGTGTTTATTTATTTTTTCCCCAATATATTTATTTAATTTTCTCTTTCAGGACAGAACAAACTTACAAACAACAAGATTAACATTATAAACATGTACTTATACACACTGTTTATTTTACTTTTTACATAGGTTGATAAGGGTTTAGTCCTGACCAACCGATGGGATCAGCTTTCTTCTTGATGTTTTTTCCTTTCGATCACCTCAGTGTTGGAGCAAAACAGCCTCTGAAACAATCGGTTGAAACTACATGATGTTGTTCGCCCTGCTTTTAAACATATCTGTTGAAAAGAAAACCGAACCAACTGACATTGGGAATCTTCTCCATATTAAAGGTCTGCTGGACAAATCCCTGGACTCACCAGCAGTAGTAATGCCTCCAAAGCACTTAAAATCCCTTGTGGTACATTAATAATTTCCTATTTGATTTAAAATATACTCCCGGCTGCTCCCAGTCTGGACGAAACCAAATTCATGTGTCTCCAACAAGCTTCTCGGTCAGGTCGGGGGTCTGCCGTTGAGTTTTAATGAATTGAAAATAATGTGAGGACTCTATTTTGTTGGTTGACACAAGTGGCCTTTTTGTTTTTTTCTTAGGGCAGGGTGCCGCCATGTTTACAATCAATGCCATAAAACCTGAGGTCAGTTCCGAATTTGAAACAGGATTTTAATGAATTTATATTAAATCCATCGTTCTTAGGGTTAGGTTTCCCATCCACCAATGAGGAAAAGGGATAAAACGAAGGTACTACAGTAGATTCAGGTATCAACTCCACTGACATTAGGGTTTTTTGCCTTTGAAAGAGCTTTTATTGGCAATTGGAGTCAATGACATTTAAGTAAATGAAGCTTCAGATAAGAGAAATAATGAAAACTTTGAATTGTTGAAATTTTTTTTAACAGAATTTAAACTAGGGGAAACCAAATCTTTTCCACTTGAGAAGTTCTGGAGAGATCATATTGACGGACAAAAACATTTTTCATCTTAAATGCAAACTATTTAGATTTTTTTTTCTTTATTTTGCTATAATTACTGCTCTAAGTAGGTTGCATTGTCAACTAAAGGTATGTTTTAGAGTCTCTATACTCCAGTTAATGATTAACCATGATTAATCTGCTACTGTCTGCTCTTCTTTACTCCTGTAGCAGCCTTACAGAGCCCCTCACTAGCATAGCGTAGGCTCCTCCATAAAGATATTTGCTTCTTTCTGTAAATACAGTACTGGTCTTTATGTAAATATATAACCTGCACCAAAAGAGCGTTTGTTGAACGCCTCAATGTGACATTGAAAAATGTTGACTTTTGTCCTAAATCTAATGTAGTGTTCAACTTCTTTTTCTGCAGGAATCTCCCTCAGGACGGCGGAAGGCATTAGCCACCAGCAGTATAAACATGAAGCAGTATGCCAGTCCTATGCCCACCCAGACTGACGTCAAACTCAAATTTAAGCCGTTGTCGAAGAAGGTGGTGTCGGCAACGCTGCAGTTCTCCCTCTCCTGCATCTTTCTGCGGGAGGGAAAGGCCACGTGAGTAAAATCAGCTCTGTTAATATTCCAAAGATCTAAAAAAACACACTCCTGTTCTTATGGCTTCCAGGTTCTGTTTAAAATCCTCTGCTTGAGGTTTTATTGTGTAAGAAACTCTCAGTCTGTTTGCCTGTTTGTTATTCATCAAAATATGACAGCCTTTATTGTAAACTTTCTTCATTTTAAACATCCCCCTTCCCCCTGCATTGGAGCGCAGCGCCGAGGCCTTTGTTGTGTCGCGGACGGCGGGTCGATGGCGCGTAACCCTTGTTAACCCTTCTGGGAATGATGTCGGCCACACACAAACAAACCCCATCACACCAGTTCAAATGAGCCTGTGAGCCTGGGAAATACCAAACACAAAGGGGAAAGAGAGAGAAAAATACAGCAATTATGATGGAGCAGTGATATCAGGAGATGGAGGGGAGGGTTAGAAGGCTCCATAAAATACCAGGAATCATGTAAGGATGGTTGAGAAACAGTCTGAGAGGAGAGGATCGGGTTCGGTCAAAAAGGCTAAAAGGCTTGGAGTGGATTGGAAGTTTTTAGATGTTTCTAACTCATGGTTGTAGAAATGAAGGGAGTAAAATAAGAAAAATGTCACATTGAAGCGTCCTTAATAGAAGATGTCTTTCACTAGTCAATAAATTCACATAGACTGACCCATTACCTTTACGTGCTTCATTTTAGGAACGTCACAATCAGGATCCTGTCATTTAGGATTAGATTTTTACTGATACAGAGTCCAGTTATTTAAAATCATTGCCATATATATATGCTTAGAGACTCAGCAACCTCCACTTTCGAACACTGTGCAGCATCTGTTTTTTAACTGTGACACATATTTCAACGGTTGAAATAAAAAATAAGAATCATTTACTTTCATGTGGATTTACGTGTTCACGGGGATGGACGTCTGTGTCTTCAGCAGGCGTAGAGCTAACAGAACTGGCAGTGTTGCGAGGCAAGGGCTCAAACATGTACGGCTGTAAGCCTTCTACACCAAACCAAGCTTCTGCCGCCCTGGCGTCCTCTTCCACAACAACTTCATCCCGCTTTCCTACTCTAAATAAAAAATGGATGACGGAGGAGACTCATCCACGACCTCCGACACTAAACTCTCCTCCTCTTGCATGTTTCCTCTGTCCATAGCGTTCCTTGACAGTGTCGTTTCTAAGTCACCAATTTAGTGCTACTTGGTCCCAATGGAATTTCCCATTGGGAAGCTACTAGCACTAAGTTGCTAACTGGTTAGCATGATGCTTCCAAGACAGCGGCTACAATCAAACTTGCTTGCAAACCTTCCGCCACAACAATCCCGCCCCTTTTTATAAACAACCAATCACATTTACTTTATTCACTCGCGTAAAGTCCTGCACCACTCGGGAGAATTCTGAAATGCAGCTGTTGGAACAGCCGTTTCCCTACCGCTTTAATATATATCTAGTCTTATACCAACCTTTGTCTAAATCACTAAATACACCGGACGCGTAACAGCACGTAAGCCCAGCAAAGCCACAAGCACATGCTACGCGTATCACAGCTTCCAGTTTTGAACAGTAAACTTTTACTTGCACTGGACGTGTAATATGTTCATTTCAACGCCTGTATTTCGCCCATAGATAGCGACACTGTAGAAGTAGCACCTTTAAATTTAAACGTTGTAATATTTAATAGCTTGTGTTTTAGCTACTTTCTATTAAGATCTCAAGCAAATGAAAAGCTTTCTAAGAATATCTCAGAATGGTGCGGATCAGGTCAAATGACAAAGAGGTCTCTAAGGCCCATGCTAATATATAGATTATTTTAACATCAGTCTAACCGATCCTTGATATCTTTGGCAGATATTTTGGCCAATTCTTTGGAGCCATTATTGCTATTAACAAATCAAACAACATCCACAGCACTAACCTCAAGGCATGGCTGCCGAATACACTACTGAATCCATCAATGTTTCCACATATTGGCCAATACGATAAAAGAAAAAAATGGCGGTGGTCGATGTATCGGTCAATCTAGTATGGAGCTTTAATGCTTGTTTGGGGTTGGTGTCTCTTTTTTTACCATTCGTAATCCTGAGATTTTCTGTCCCAGTGACGAGGACATGCAGAGCCTGGCCAGCCTGATGAGCATGAAACAGGCTGACATCGGCAACCTGGATGACTTTGAGGAGGAGAACGAGGAGGATGAGGAGAACAGGGTTAACCAGGAAGAAAAGGCCGCCAAGATCACAGGTAAAAACCAAGAGGAGCGGTTTTTACTCCTCAGAAAAGAACAGCAAATGTATTTTTTTCTTTTGGGTCCTTTTAAGTTGTTCCAGGTATTCCAACTTAAACAACTGAAATATTTGATTAACAATGTGAAAACGCTCAGTCCCTAATGTTTAATAAATCTTTCCTTTTTGTTTATTTTCTGGTCATCATTTACATAATCACTTGTATGAATTAAAACATTTTCTGATAAGATATTACAACTTTAATCAATGACTGACACCGATATTCACTAATACCATACCAGCATATATCATATGTACTTCTATTATTTCATTGTGCAAAATTCCACAAACGGAGAACGACAGTGACCAACAATAACTGACCTATTTATCAGCTGATGTTAAACCATCAGCTGATAAATAGGTCAGAAGCAGATACAACCGGAGTCTCTTTATGTTGAAGATTTTAGATTTTAGATTTTAGGGCTGCAACTAACCATTATTTTACCAATTGATTAATCTGTCAATGATTGTATTTTCATTAATTGGTTAATTGGTGGGTGGCAAAAGGTCCTTTAAAGTAGATTTTATACTGAATATAAAGCAATAGCAGCTAAAACTCTGTCAATTTAGGAGCTGGATAGCATATATTCACAGAGAATTCTGGCAGAATTGCTGCTCTGATTGGGCTGCTCTTTTAGCTGATTACATGTGTTAGACTGTAACCAGTAACCAAATTATTTGACAATTATTTCAGTAATTAATTATTCTTGATCAAGCCGATTAATAGTTTCAGCTATAATTTGATGCATGCAGATATATTTATATAGATGGATGGATAGATATTTTTTGACTTGATTTCTTATATCTAAATTGCATCCCTAATAAAATGTAATGTTGAAAAAGGATGTATCCACTGCCAGATTTATTGATATATTGACTCCTTTTTACTTTCCTCAAACTTCTGGCTGTAAAACCAGGATCTTATCGGGCGGGGGTTCAAGCTTCAGGGTTTGTTTATGTTGCAGGTTTCCCATCCTTCCATACTTACAATGCTCAGGATTCCTGCTATGGTCTAGCATCAAGGCCTCGCTGCTTCTTGCTTTGCTTAATCCAACTTTTTAGAGCAGCTCCTCTTCACGTTAAGCTTCATGCCTTCTTCCTTTCTTCTCCCCGTTTTGCTCCCCTTCTCATTTGTATGTATATGCATTGAGTGCCTACAGCAACGCTCCAGTAGCACGCATCTCTGAATCAAAGGCTGAGCCAAGCTTCCACAACTCTGTGCATTCACATTCCTGCTTGAATTCTACCTAGGGAACAAGCCACCGAGCGTCTGGAGTATTAATAATAACACGAGGCTAACTGGAGCGTTCTCTGGGAACGGCGGGCTCTTTCTGTCGTAATTTTTATGCCGAAGGGAAATATTTGAATTTGTTTTTATTAAATAAAGCGGCTAACTCTTTGTTTTTTAGAAATGAGAAAAAGTAGAATTTTAAAGGAGATTATTTTAGTGTGACAGTAAACAAAAACAGCCTCTTACTGATTGGTTAAATTATCTGTTGGCCATCTTCTGGTTGGTTGGAAACACCACCTATCTGTGATATTTACTCTTTCATATCAAGCTACAAAAAACTCATAACTAAAACACATTTTATTGGATTAGATTGCCATTAAGGTCACAAATAATATACACTGCAAGGATGATCTAAAAATCGGAAATCATTTCTTAAAATAATATATTTAATATAATCATTTGACTAGGTAAATAAGATGATCTGCCAATGGAATGAGTGCCCTTAAATTCAGATCATTACATATTATGCATTTGAAATAAGAGACTGCTATTGTTTTTCTTGTTTTGGAATGCTCTCATTCCATTTGTTTGGAATGCTCTCATTCCATTTTTTTGGAATTCTCTCATTCCATTGGAAAAAATCTGGAAAAAAGCACTTATTTTAAGAAAAATTAACTTGGTTTCCCTTCCCTCTTCTACACTGGAAAAACGATCTAGAAATAAGTAAAACATTCTTAAATTAAGTGTATTTACCCCTAATATGAGTAGGTAAATGAGATACTTTGCCAATTAATGAGTATTTTTATTCTTAAAATAGGATAATTAAATAATATGCACTTGAAATAAGACAATGCAATTGTATTTTCTTATTTTAAGTGTAAATTGTCTTGTTCCATTGGCAAGATGTCTCTTTAACCTCCTCAATCCAAGTACAAATGCACTTATTTTAAGAAAAAACGCCTTATCTAGATTTCGATTTTTTTTCCAGCATGCAATGGTTATTTAATATTTTCCCACTTAGTTTAATCCTTTTGGTTTTTTTCCTCTTTTTTTAATGTGCGTTTATATGTATCTGTGTCTGTTTGGCTGCAGGTGAATATTATGCATAACAGACTGTCATTATGCATTGTTCACTTTTCTTCTTCCTCCCTTCCTGTATTGGGCCTTTCGTTTACAGAGATAGTAAACCAGTTGAATGCCCTCAGCTGCTTACATGGGGATGATGATGATGATGATGGTGTTGGTATTCCCAAGCGAGCAAGCAAAGCAACAGCTAAGCCTGCTGCCTCTTCCCAAGGTCTTTTTTCCACCTTTCTTTCACCCCAACTCATCTCCCTGTTCTTGATGTGACGTCTACCCAGCCATTACATCTTTTATTTCTTTATAGAAAAGGCTTAAGTTTTTTAATACACCATTAAATTTGGTTATATTCCAGCATTCAACCTTTATTGGTTCCTGTTCCGTTTGGTTCCTTTCCCCTTTATCCTGGTTGTCATTGGTATCGTGGTCGTATTGTGGTCGTGTGATAATAAAATTTATTTTACCTCATTTGTTGTCCTTTTCATGGTGTTTTAAAAATCCGTAAACATCAGTTGGTTTTCTTTCTTTGTGCCTCCTGTTTTTTGTTTTGTTTTTATACCTTGTGACCCTTTCCTTTACTGCATTTGGAAGTGAACCAATGTTGGTTTAAATCTTTCTTGGCTCGTTCCAGTTTTGGAGCACTTAGCATCGGTTTCTTCTCTGCCATGTGAACATTTTACAATCTTTTTCAAAAGATAATTTACAGAAAATTACGATATTTTTGTTACAGTCTAAGTCTGAAAATATGTGGATTGATAATCCAATCATTGGTTTGATGTTTCATCTGACTCAGATTGATTAAAGATGCCTTAATACCCAGAGAAATGCAAATTAACAAGGTAGCAGATTGACCCTGAGCCAGAGTCAACATACCTAATTAACCCTTTTCTCCTTGGTATGTGTGGAACAGTCTAAAAAACGGAGCAGTATTGGCCTAATTTTTTAATTAGAACTAAGAAAATCTCTCTCCTTAATCTTTGGGCTCCTTCCTAGCACCTCATGGAAAACATTTCTCTATGGTAAACAATCAAAAAGCAGCTGAAAATGGCAGCCATGTAGGTTTGACACAACTTGCTGCTGCATGGCATATTGGCTGCCTCCACTTCACTTCACATCACAACATATAGGCCAGGAGACATAAAGGTTACTCACAGGATTTTATGTCCTCATTCAGATCTTCTCAAAGCTCCCATGTAGCGTTTCTTGGCGTCTACTTCAGACACATTTAGGATCTTTTCAAACTGGCCCACACCCCTGCCGCCTGGGAACGAGCTACAATGAGCATGATTAAGACAAAGTAGTCAAGCCTTTGACATCTCCAGTTAGGATCTCCATAGCAACCCCATGCCGTTTCCAGTCTCCCACAGAACCCCTCCATACTGCATAACTTTTCCCACAACGCCACTGCATTAGACGCCCCGACAAGTAAGGGAGCTGCAAGCAGAAGTTTAGACGGCATTCTCCTAAAACAAAATCAAAACAAAAAGGGCTGAACTTTTTGCTTCTGGTTCACTCCAAGTGCAGGTTTTGGATACCTTGGTTTGTGGATGTCTGTTTCTTGAGTTTTGAGAAAGCTGTGTTGGCAGGCTCTTTGACTTCAGTGTTTATTGGTTATTTATTCGTCTTTCTCTTGGAAAACAACAGAACTGATCAACAAGCTGAACTTCCTGGAAGATGAGGATCAGGACGCTGTTCCTGCCATGACTACCAATCCCTTCGATGAGCCCAACACTGACCTTCAGTCCTTCCACCTCAATCCGTTTGGCGATCCGGATGAGGAGGGTGAGTGCAGACTACTAGAGCATCTGTTTTACTTAACTTCACTGAATCGTCAATGTGAAGTTGGATGTTTTTTGGAAAGACCAATCACAGAATCTTGCTGATTCGTAGGTGACCAAACATTTATTTTCCACCACAATTTGCAAATAAATTATTTACAAATTCTACAATGTGATTTACACGATTTTGTTTCTCATCGTTTTCTCTCTCATAGTTGAAGTATACCTTTGCAGGGTTATATTTATATTTAAAATCAGACAAAATTAGAACAGTGTTGACATTTGAATGAAGCTTAAACCATGAAATAATTGCCAGAAAATGTAAATGTTTTGAAACTAGAGTTGTTATTGAAAAATCTGACCCCTGGAAATCTGAATTAATGGAATTAGTTATTTGTATCATTTATGATACATTACATATATTTGTGGAATTTATCATTGATTTTCTGTTCACTACATGTGACTGATTGTATAAGTCATGTTTTTCAAGAACATCAACATCACACCATTGATATAGATGTCTCAAAAACTCATGAATCAAATGATACACTTGGTGTTAAACGGTGAAATTGCCATTAGCACCTTGGATTAGCATTTAGCATTACTTCCCTTAAGGCTAAAATCTCCTTAAAAAGACTTTAGTGTCACCTGCATGTCTCACCCTTAACATAAGCTGCAATCATTCAGCAGAAATGGGTCAGATTTTGGGGTTTCTGACCAGCAACTTGTTAGAAAACATCCTTTGGTTGGTAAGCCGTGCACTTAAAAGGGTTGGAATGGACGTAGCAGTTCTATAGTGCCACAAAAGGCTTTGATTCAGACAGCTTAACCAAATAGTCTGAAAACCTGATAGCCAGATGTGTTGGCTTAGTGTTGTTTAAAAGAAACACTTTAACACATCATCAGAGTCATTGCTTTTAATGTGCTCCTTAGTGGTAACTTTTAAAGCCTTTGTCAAAGGTTTTATTTTTGTTAATTATTATTATCATGTGAGACCTTTTAAGATATTGATTTCTACGTAATAAAGTTCAGGTCTGTGAGTGAATTTCTAAAGAGAAGGCAGAATAAATGTGGTGAGCTAAAACACACTGAGTGATGAAGTGGGCAGCAGAGTATGTAATGCTTAGCTAGTTCCCCAGACAGACTGCAGTCAGATTTGTTTTGTTTCTCTCTGCTGTCTGGCTCTGCACTTGCTAACAAAGCTCCTGTCACGTCTAGTGGAAGACGTGTCGTTAAAGCAACCGGTTCTCTCGTCCTTATCAAACAGAGCCCCCCTCCCAGCCGGCTCAAAGACAGCGACTCAATGAGGAGTCCTTCCACGACCCCGACGACTCAAACCCGTTTAATGATCCCGATGGAGCGGAGACCCGTTCATCTCCCTTGAACCCCTTCGATGAGGCCGACCAGGACCTGCAGCTCCAACCAGACCCCGAACCCCCCAGACCCAAGCAGAAGAAAGGCGTTAGGCCTGTCGACATGAGCAAGTACCTGTATGCTGACACCTCTCACAATGAGGAAGAAGAGCTTGATGAGTAAGACTTATTCATTATCATAATGCTGGTTTAACTCAAAATTCTTTCTCAGCAGAATTTTCTGTTTAGACTTTTTCCTTATTATTACAAATTCTAAATCAGAAAGTCATAATGTGACAAAGGTTGGGGGTTTGTTTGACATAGTTTTTGTTGAAATAAGAGGAGTGTGTTTGTTCCATTGGGTGAGGCTCTTAGATTGCTAACTTGGTTACCAGTGGCATGCCAAGCCCTGTAAGGATCCCCCCTTTTAGAGGCGTATTTGTAGCCCCCCCCCCCTCCCAAGGGTAAAGTGACGAAGCTGCTCTTTCAACGGGAACAAGGCCTCTGTTGTGTCTTGCATTCTTCAACCTTGTCTCCCTATTTTATTCTCCCCTAGCCTCCATCCCACCTATCAACATCTTGCATTATACTCTCACTCTTAGCCATTCGCCTTTACCTCTTCCTGAGGTGCTGCTTATTTCATTTCACCTCCCTCCCTCCAGTTGATCTGTCGTCTTTACTTTCTGTATCAATTAAATTTACACGGCAAAGACGAAATGAGTAAAACATTCTTGAAATAATGTATTTAACCTCAATTTGAGTCAATAAATAAGATGATCTACAAATGGAATGGGTGTTTTTACCCTTAAAATAAGTTAATTCTGTCTAACGTTGCATTAGGACTTATCTTCTCAACAGTTCCGCTGTTTGTTTACATCAGGGGTGTACAAAGTTGGTCCTTAAGGGCCGGCTTAAAGTCCTCCATGTTTTAAACGTTTCCCTGATTCAAAACACCCGATTCAGGTAATCACTGTTCAGCAAAATCCTTTTAATCAGCCATCAATACAAATCAGGTTTATTAAAGCAGAGAAAAATCTAAATATGGAAGACGCAGTTCCTGAGGGTCTGGATTCAGACACCCCTGGTTTAACTCTATTAAAGTTCAGTATCATCATCTTCCACCTTTCCTACTCCCAATGGAATTATATATATATATATATCGTTTTGGCAATATATTGAGATTCTTGACTGCCTGATATAATATTGATCTTTTAGTTCCTAGTATCGATTTTTTTAAGCAAAATGTTTTTACCTAAAACTGAGGGAAAATGGGCTACCTCTGCACCACCAGTATGGCATATAGTGCTGTGGAGCCCTTTGGCTGTGTGGCGTAGCGCCATTTCTGTAGTTGAGACAGTCACAGTGTAGGACGTGAACTGAAGGAAACCCCAAACAACAAGGATGCCAAAATAACTGAACGCTTAATGTCATCCGATGAACATGTACAGAAGTTGCTTTTTTATCTGAACATTTAATTTCGATAGCAGGAAAAATGTCGCAGTATATGGTGATTATGCTGATATACACTATATTGCCAAAAGTATTTGCTCACCCATCCAAATTATTGGAATCAGGTGTTCCAATCACTTCCATGGCCACAGGTGTATAAATTCAAGCACCTAGGCATGCAGACTGTTTTTACAAACATTTGTGAAAGAATGGGTCGCTCTCAGGAGCTCAGTGAATTCCAGCGTGGAACTGTGATAGGATGCCACCTGTGCAACAAATCCAGTCGTGAAATTTCCTCGCTCCTAAATATTCCACAGTCAACTGTCAGCTGTATTATAAGAAAATGGAAGTGTTTGGGAACGACAGCAACTCAGCCACGAAGAGGTAGGCCACGTAAACTGACGGAGCGGGGTCAGCGGATGCTGACGCGCATAGTGCGAAGAGGTCGCCAACTTTCTGCAGAGTCAATCACTACAGACCTCCAAACTTCATGTGGCCTTCAGATTAGCTCAAGAACAGTGCGCAGAGAGCTTCATGGAATGGGTTTCCATGGTCGAGCAGCTGCATCCAAGCCATACATCACCAAGTGCAATGCAAAGCGTCGGATGCGGTGGTGTAAAGCACGCCGCCACTGGACTCTAGAGCAGTGGAGACGCGTTCTCTGGAGTGACGAATCGCGCTTCTCCATCTGGCAATCTGATGGACGGGTCTGGGTTTGGCGGTTGCCAGGAGAACGGTACTTGTCTGACTGCATTGTGCCAAGTGTAAAGTTTGGTGGAGGGGGGATTATGGTGTGAGGTTGTTTTTCAGGAGCTGGGCTTGGCCCCTTAGTTCCAGTGAAAGGAACTCTGAATGCTTCAGCATACCAAGACATTTTGGACAATTCCATGCTCCCAACTTTGTGGGAACAGTTTGGAGCTGGCCCCTTCCTCTTCCAACATGACTGTGCACCAGTGCACAAAGCAAGGTCCATAAAGACATGGATGACAGAGTCTGGTGTGGATGAACTTGACTGGCCTGCACAGAGTCCTGACCTCAACCCGATAGAACACCTTTGGGATGAATTAGAGCGGAGACTGAGAGCCAGGCCTTCTCGTCCAACATCAGTGTGCGACCTCACAAATGCGCTTCTGGAAGAATGGTCAAAAATTCCCATAAACACACTCCTAAACCTTGTGGACAGCCTTCCCAGAAGAGTTGAAGCTGTTCTAGCTGCAAAGGGTGGACCGACGTCATATTGAACCCTATGGATTAGGAACGGGATGTCACTTAAGCTCATATGTGAGTCAAGGCAGGTGAGCAAATACTTTTGGCAATATAGTGTATATACACTAGGCTAACAGACTTGATTCATCAGGAAAGGCACAGATAGCAGTTAAAAAAGCTTTACACATTTTTGTAAAGAATGAGACGTTACTGGTGACAAAAATATTGAGATTATACAATCAATTCAACATGCACTATAGCTTTAAGCATCAGAAAATGAGTATGAACATTAAAAAGTATTATTTTTAATCTAATATTGTCTGTAATGTTGGACTTAAATAAGGACCTACTAACTATGCTACATATTAATTAGAAAGTGACTAAAATCTAAATGATTCTGCTCTTTATTGAATATCAAGTATAAGCTGCTAGGCCACAGTTTTATACAAACCACTCACCCGTTAGCTTGCTAACTGAAGTTGTAAAACAGCATTACCATAAGAGCGCTGAGGGGAACATTTTCAGCCTTAGCGCCACAACAATCAAACCTTCTTGTGACTGATAATATTTCTAAACAGCCATTTTCATCTTGTAAGCATGACATATGTGTAGAAGCAACTTTTAATTTTAGCTTGCCGACAGGCTAGGCAGAGCAGTATGTGGGGGAGGGGCACACTGCTTTAATCTGGGTTACATACAGCTGAATAGTAAGTAGAAAGGTTTTTCTAAAGAGTTACCTTTTTAAGTGTTAAAGACTGAATGCAGCCGGACACTTGGGAGTGGCCTACGCCTGACAACAAGCATGGCCAAAGGTATGAGGATATCTGATGGCTCCTCAGCTGTTTTTCAAGACTTTAAACAAATTTCTTTCCACTGGGATCATTCTGTAGTTCTGCTCAACGAGATGTTTTAAAGATAGTCCATGACCTTTCCTGAAGAGTGTCCGTGCTTGAACTGTAAATGTGAACCTTTCTGTTGCGGCTGTAAAGCAAAGCTGTCAGACAGAAAGCTGTTAGCCGTTTTTTTTTTTTTTTTTAGCTCCTCTCAGCTGTCAAAATACAGACAGTTTATTGACTGCAGAGTCCCTTTTTCTATTGCTTCTACATCAAGAGCCTTTTTCGACAGAATAGAGAGTTCAGGAGGGCACACATTGTTTTGACTGAAGCTCTTTGACTTGTCTTTTAGTTTGCACTGGCTGGTTAAAGCTGGGCGATAGGCCTGACTGCTGTTCTTTACATTCCCTCACTTGTTTATACTTCTCACAGTTTATCGTCTCCTTCTCTTTTTTTTTCTTTATTGACACAGAGTAGCTTTAAATGACCGTGTTTCTCCAAGACATGCCTGGTCAGTCAGTTTCCGACTGTGACCCCCCACCTTCCCTATCCAGTGCTCTTGTATGTTTAGGACTACAAATGACATGATGAGTGAATGTCTTGAGGCGGTGCCCTTGCTTTCAGTGCCACGAGCATCCCGGCATATTGCTAACATCCTGGTGTGTGTTTTGTTGCATGCTTCTGCATGTGTGTTTGTTCTCCCGTTGTTGCCCATCTGTCAGTAGTCCACCCTGGGTCGTAAGGATATGAGGTCACAGTCCTGACCTCAGTGCACCTGCTGCTTCTATTCACTTTCCACCAGTGTGTGCTCTTCATTGTCCACCAATAAAACATCTCTGTAGCAACATATAGATAAATATATTTTCTATTCTTATTGAATTTTTGGACTTTTAATTAGCATTTTTAACTGTTTTGTCTGCTGTATTATGAATAAAATTATTATTTCTTCATTTATCCTAATTCTTTAATTGATAATGTCCATGATGTTTTGCCGAATAGGGATCCTATTTTGCACTTATATGGAGACGTTTACTACCTCCTGAACCTTTTAGTAACATTTTCACCTTTTTAAAGAGTTGCTGCATTAAAGTGTGTGTCAGAAGCATCTTGCAAAAAACTTAAGATACTCCTCTAGCTTCTTACATTTTTAAAATTCTATGGTGTTTATGACAGATTTTATTAAATACATTTGCAGGGTGGATATTTTAAATTACTGTCATAATATTTGCTGAGCAAAAATCTTGGTTTATGCATACAGTTTAGCCCCTCTACTCTACAAAACTACTCACCTTTTGCTACTATCATATCTGACTAGAAGCTTTCCACATCAAAATGTAAAAATATTTCCAGTTCTATGCGAAATCGCTCACATCTAATGGTGGCTGAGGAATTCCTTCCTTCAGGTTCTTTGCCTAGACTTTTATTAGGCCACTTTAGCAAACTATTGGCCTGATTTTAAAAGCTATTTGGTGTAACACTTATACACACTTGGTATCACACACAGAGCTAATCTACTAAATAGTTAACTAATTTATCTGTGTGTCTAAAATGAGCTTCAGGGTTACCGAGAGTTTTAGACTTTCATTTGATGGTCTTTTCTCCCTGACTGTAAGTTTGGATGGATGAGCATATCTATGGAGGTTTGAAGGTTTCTGTTTGCATATGATGCTTTTAACATGCTTCTAAGCTTCAGTAATTGTTATATGTCATACCTCTGCTCTAAACCTGCACAGGACATCATTCCTGATGTAGAGGCTGTGTCTCTTGTTCTTTGTGATGCTGATTATTTAGTGAGAAACAAACATCTGAGACCATGAAGCAGATGTAATTATCCAAAGTTTAAATTGAAAACAGAAGGGTCGTTTTGAGGGAGTACCTGAATCAAGTGGAAGTCATGTAATCTTTTTTTCTTTTTCGATTTTTATTAGAGAAATTAAATCATATATCTTAAAAATGTTCATTTGGTGATTGAGTCACAAACTTTATACTGTATTTGATGTAAATGTTTGTTGAGATGTTCTATTTTCACAGTTTTTGGTTTTGCAGATCAGTGTGAGGAAATTGAAACAGAACAACTGTAATTGTTTCAAACACACTTTCAGATCCAATCCGTTTTACGAGCCAAGAACATCGAGCCCAGCGCGGCCACTTGAGGGCAGCCCCTCTCCGGATGTTGGCAGTAACCAGAAGAGGAAGGCCCCTCCGCCCCCGAGTACCAGCACGGGCCCGGGCCGCGCTCCACAGACCTCCAAACCCAGCTCTGGCCCGGACGGGGAGAGAGCCCAGCCTGTTGGGCCCAGCCCTCTGGCAGCAGTGATAGGAAGAGAGCTGGCCTCCTCTTCCCCAAAGGTGAGCTTTCTTAGTCTAGGCTCCAAGTAACCTGAGTTGGTTCAGATGCCTTAAACATCAACAAAAGTAAAAAAATTAAGATTCTTTCTCTTCTCTGTTTTAAACATTTAAAAGATGTCTAGTAAATGAATGTAATGGGGGAAAAAACCTAATGTGATTAAAACAAAAAATCTTTAAAATGAAAACAGATCCTGTCCTGTCTAAGTTTACATTCAAATCCTTTCTCAAAATAGTGACCCAGTACATACATAAATGCACATTTATAAATCTTTACACACGGATGTGTATACATGAGTTCATCTGCAGACACATAAGAGCTTCATTTCCATACAGGCTTAAATTAGCAGTATAAACACATTGTTTTACTCATTAATTAGGACCTCCTTATATGTTCTCCTACACTGTTCAAAAAGTCTGATCTGGTAAGTGTCAGGCCTAATTTATTGGCCAGCAGCAACTTCTAGCTTTGTTAGCTCTCATGCTTAAAGGTATAGAGAACCATCTTTTATTTCCAGGTGGATCATCTAAATAAGTGGTCCTCCTAACTGTCAATCATTCCGGTGATATGTGTACGTAAGGCTGTCCTACGTGGTCTCCGGTCCATTGAGTTGCGCACTTTCAGGCGTATATGTGTGGTGAGCTATGGTTTCAGACAGTCATTGAAGCGGCCCGCTGTCGGGTAGCGACAGTATAAACACATTTTTTTACACATTAATTAGGACCGCTGTCGCCGGGCCGGCGACTAATAACAAAGATGGTGCAGGCACTGTGCAGTGAAGGAGAACTTATGTGACCAACGGGGAGCGAAAAGCAATGATCATCTGTCCGAACGGTAAGTTAACGGAGTTCGCTATAAATTCCACTATATAACCCCCACTCTATATAGTTGTCGAGGGATTTAGCAACTTTCACACAGGTTGCACAAGGAGCAATGGGCTCATGCATGCTCTCGCACGCGTTTAATAGGCCTTCCCTCTGTGATGCGGATACAGGGTTGTGCATGTGCATTTTTTAAATTTAATTGGAGAGGGCGGTTCTTCACCATAATCCTCCATCATACCTTGAAGAGGGGTTCAGATTCACTCAGTTGCGGATCTGGAGTTGGACTTGTTTGACTTTTTCTTCTTATTTTAAATCTCTGTCTGCTCGTATGGTAAAAAAGCCTGGCAGACACACACCAGTCAGGTTTTTGTTTCAGTAAAACACCTAATGCTGCATTGCTGCTATTCTGGCTGTGTCATTGCTACGGCCTGGATTTCTAACTTGTTTCTTAAAGATCTCACATTGCCTAAAATGATTGACGGGAGAGATGGCTGGAATTTCCACATCGTCTCTCTTCTTGCTCCTGTTCTGCATCCTCACCGCCTTCTTTTCAATGCAGGTTGTACTTGCGGAAGTATTAAAATGTTATTTATTTTGGAGCTCTTAATGAGCTCCTTATAGGTATAAATAACAACATGTTATGGTTTCTTTGGTCAAGCATAAGAAATATCCAAATATTCTTTTAGAAAAAGATCAAGCTAGCAGAACTACTCCCAAAATGCAGCCGCTTTAAGCTGCAAAATTTAGTTTACTAAACAGTTTTTACTCCAATTGAAATGGACAAAAAAGCCGTTTTGTACCTTTAGTACCGTTCTGGCTTACTTTACTGTGAGTTGAAAGAAAAAAGTTGAGTCTTTCTTTGCAGACCCAGAATAATAGCCTTACTGTTTTTTTACTGTATCACTTGACCACCTGGTTAAGCAGTTTTTTTAAGTAGGTGGGTTTAGGGGACGGTTTTGTGTCAGAAGAGCACTTCTGATCTTAGATCAAATAGGCATCTTTATAGTTTTTTTTTTTCTCATTGAAATCATTTGTGAGTTTTGATAATTATTTATTCCACACATTTTTTCCACAGGCTAAATCACATATTTATGTTCACACAACTCACCAGCTTTTCTGTCGTATTTGTATTTTTTGTTCATTGGTGGGGATTTTTTTGTGCATGTTTATTTATTTATTTAAATTAGGTAAATCACGGCTGGCTCTAATTAAATGGCTGATGGTCACACACCTACGGCCGGAGTCACACCACTGGCGGGGAATGATTGGCTGTGGGTGTGGAAGGGAGTGCAGGTTAGAAGCTGTGTGTGTGTGAGTGTGTAGGGGCTCAATGAACCTTTTTGCCGGTTTAAACACCGGGGGCTTAACTACAGCAGAGCGATCACAAGGGGGTGTTGACCCCCTTTGCACACACTCACACAAGCACATACAGTTACTTACACATGTGGCGCTCCTCCCTGTGCAGTTGGCTAGTTGACTGTTTTAGTGTAGCTGAGCGGTGATGCTGGCTGTCCATGTAATTATGGCACAGCGCCTTTATCACCCAGCTGCAGTTGCCTGTGACCATGGGTGAGGGGCCTTAAACCACTTTAATTACCCAGAGCCAGTGGCCTGTGGTGGGCCACACTTCGCCAAGAGATGCCCCGGACTCTGGAGCTTTCAGGAGAGGGAGGAGTGGAGGGATACAGAGAAAGAAATGTGGGGATGTGCATTCAAGAAAAAGATATGTGGAAGATGGTGAAGAGCAGAGGAAAGGGAAGAAGATGGCCGCTTCATTGCTCACAGAGGGATATGATGTTCACAGTAAGCAGGGATAGGCCTACTGGGTTTGTTGACACGTAAAGCAGATGTGAATAGCTTTTCCATTCTTATTCACACCAAGCAGCAGTGATATACACATGGCACAGCCTGCACATGGGCTGAGAGATGACCTTTGAAAGTATGAAGTCAGAAAGGATTAAGAGGAGACATTCCCACTATGAGAGGCCAGGAAGAAATGTTCCATTTTAAACGTGAGCAGGATATAAATGTATGTAAGAGTCTGTCTGGGTGCATGTTTCCTGTTTTTTTTAAGGTATCTCGTCTGCCTCAGGCTCAGATCAGCGAACATATTCTCATAGAGTTCAGTGTGTTTAAGATGTGGATGGAGGTTCATGATTCGTTGGTTTTTGGTGAAAACACTTGGTGGCATCTCAGAAAGGGAATAGAATTTTTTACCCTAGAATTTTAAGCTGCAATCCCCACTTAAATGTTTACAAGCGTCCCTGTGGGGTTTGTCTGGACACATGTCCATTACAGGGTTCAACTCAACTCAAACTTTATTTATAAAGCACATTTAAAACAACCGGGGTTGACCAAAGTGCTGTACAGATATCACAGTTACAGGAAATAAGGTAAAAACTTAAAAGCTAAAATACATAAACACAATGCAATAAAATAGAATAAAATAAGTTAAAATATATTTTGCCAGATGTCCACTTAGACCTGATTAAAAGCGATGGAGAATAGGTGTGTTTTTAGGGACTACACGTAACTAATTGTGATGCACTGACACGGCAAAATTAAACCTGCTACACCTTCAGAATGAACTCACCTTATGATTATTTTCCAAATTGATTAATCTGTCAATTATTTTTTTCGATTAATAATCGGATTGAAGACTTTTTACTAAATTAAACCTGGTGAAACTGAAATTTTTCCCTTGAGGAGTTCTGGATAGAGCATATTGACAGACGAAAGAGATTTTTTTTATCTTAAATGCAAAATGTTTACATATTTTTTTCTCTCACAATTTTGGTATAATTGCTGTTCAAGATGGGTTGCTCTTTCAGCTAAAAGCATGTTTTAGTTTTACTAAATATTAATTTCGTTCATGATTATTTCAATGTCGATTAAACACGATTAACTCGAATAATTGTTTCAGCCCTAAAAAAGATACATTAGAACCAATAATATAACTGTAAATTTGTGTACTAATTCTTAGCATTATCAGAGTTCAAAATTAATTTAAATATCATAAATAATAACAATGTATTTTAATTTGAAAAACCAGCATTGCTGGCTCCTGGCTTTGCCTTTCTTCGAAGCTAATTAGAGGATGAAGCTATTAGTGGCTACAGTGTGCCATGGTCCTATCATTACTAAAGGAAAACTGCTGACAACAGTCCAATGTTATAAAATTAGCAAACTTTTTGTTATATTTAGGGACATTGTGGACCCTTCTAGCCACTTAAAAAAAAGCAACTAGAGACCTGATGTATTGGCTTTTCTCTTTTCTTTTTTTTTTTGACTAGCTTAGCTTTACTGTTGCTGTCTCACAACACCAGCTATATTTTCCTACCTACCTCAGCGCCTTGAAGAGCAATGAGTGAAGTAGGTTTTCTTCTTGGAAATCTCACTGCCTCCATAGACCTACTTGTACATGCTGACTTGATTGGCAGAAATTAAACATGGTTTCCACCATCTTTTGTTTTATCATGCTGTGAACATCCACTTTTAAGGTAGTCTGTGCACCTGATTGTCTGTTAGCCTAGTGAGACTTTTTTTAAATTTTGGTAGAAACCTTAATTTGACTTGAAAGATAAAGTTTTGTCTAGCAAAGAAACCCTCTTAGTAAATGGAGATCAACTCTGGGTATTTTAATCTCAGTTTAAAACAAGTTTGTGTCTGAAAGCCTTAGAGTTTTTCTTTTTAAAGGGAACTGGTTAACAAACAAAGTTATGGGGAAGTTCAAAGCCGGTCACTTATGGCTCGTTCTTCTCCCCCTTAAGCGTAACGCTGTGGACGACCTCTGTTGGACTTCTCCTCTCCCGTCTCTCTCGAACAGATGTTTCATTACCTTTGTCTAAGAGGCTCCATCCTCCTTGTCATTGCATTAGAGCACGCCACTCTACTGCCAGTCTGTGAAAAATCGCCTTGCTTAAAGGACATTTGACGTGAGCCGAATCAGGCAATCTATACGTAAATCAGATGTATGTATTAAATTCTGAGAACAGCTGGCAAAACTGGATGTTCGCTAATGTGACACAAATTCAGTCCCAGAAGACGATGCTTCTGTGAAGTTGCATAGTAAAACTGACAAGCTTTACACCTAACCAAAGCAGCATTAAATATCTAAAAAGATGGCCTACAGGAGGCCACTTTTACATGATGTTCATCTAAGATTGATCTCTAAGTTG